TGATTTGTGTGTTATACAGAAGAACTCGATGAACTGGAACTGTGTCTGTGCCGCCTGGATGTCTGTACTTCGATATTCGGTGGTTCAGCGACAGTCTCGCTCCTTGGGGGTCGACGCGAGTGCATTGCAGCGGCCAATAACAACGCAATTATCAACAAGACAGTAAGAATAACAACAGCAATGACGATGGTGTTGTTGGTGTCTGGATCAGTGACTGGAGCAGATGATTGTTCAGTGTATCGGCATCGTTCGCCGTAGTAACCCTCAGGGCAGTCGCACGAGTATTCCATCCTGTCACCGTCATAACTGAGTACTTTACACGTACCACCGTTGTAGCAGTAATTCACATTGTTAGGACTTGGACAGAGCCAGCGGTGGAAACGTGACTGGACATAGGCCTGGGCCGAATTCAAGCTCATCGCCAAACAAACGACGCACAGCAGGCACAATTTCGAAGTTATAATTGTTCGTTTCATGTTGCCGTCTGTAAACGTAACATATTGATCAGGAACAATTAATAGATTAAAGATCACACATACATTATACGATATCTTAGTTTTCTGTATCGGTAGTCGGGTGAATATCGTCGAGATTTCAGTTCGTTTTTGCAATGCTCTTCAGCCGAGGCCTCGGGGTTGCAGGACAAGCCGGTAGAATGCGACAGAGCCCTCACACGACTGAAGTGGAATGAACGTAATCTATCGATTGTATTCTTAAGCTATGGTCTAGTTTACTAACTGCAGCAGATATACTTACAACGTTGACCAATCACAACGCTCTTTTAGTTTAAACCAAACTCCCTTACTTTAAACTAACTGCGGGTTCAAAAGGGAAAGAAATGGGCGACCATAACCATTGGTTTCCTGTGCTCTTTGATGATTAGCGGCTCCTGTGACGGTTTTTTTTCAACAAGTTTATGCAACTACGCTGATGTTCGTTTATATGCAATCTGCCAGGAATGCCTTTCTTTTATAGCAACGTCCACGAAGTAGTACTGATTTATCATATTCGGAGGGAAGAGGTGATTATTCTGACCGGGACTCATACCCGTCAGGCAGTTTATCGATTGAGCAATTCCGATCTAACCAAGTTACGTTGATGACCGTGTATCGTTTTGGGGACAGCCCCAGTATCTTGGGGATAGAGAAAACTTTCGATATCGCCGCTGAATAATCACATTAAAAATAATAATGATTCCGCATTGAAACGGCGAAAATTCAGTGTAAAGAAAGACAAGTGCATTTCTCACTTTGCACCAGGATATGTTCTATTTCAAGGATAATAACCAGCACTGACGCCGTCAACCTGTGATTTTCAGACCCGGAAAAATTGTTAATTATATATACATCACTGTAACAAACGTTGTTCATCAGGTGATCTGCCGTAGTGTTGCATTTGATCTTTCGGTTTGTACGGTGTTGTGTAAAGTTCATTTGTGCTGATAGCGAATGATCTTGCAATAAACTAATCTTCAATGGTTAATGGCAAAAACGAGACGAATCAATTCACTGATGTCCACTTATATATAGAACGTGCCACCGCGTTCATCATCAGAGCATGAAATGAGTATGAGTCGACGTCGGGAACTATGGGAAATAATCTAGTGTAAAGTGCAGACGTAAAACTACAGATGCAAAAAACTTTACAATGCATAGAATTAGTAGGGGTAAGTTGCAGCAGGTTAAATCATACTATGTGTTGTGTAAACTGTGTAATTTAAGCGTATGAGCTGAATGACACCTGCATGAAACTAGCCTTAAGAAGTCTCATGTTTTGTTCCATAAATTCGTGGCACTGTCTGACTCAGCGTAGTTGGGGTTACAAAATACAGAACTAAGTTTATCTAGCACAACTGATCTCTGCAACGAAGATCAGCCGAATCGTAAAAATTGCATGAGACACTTTTGGAAGATTGACAATATTGAATTACTGCTTGAAACAGAATGTTTTCGATCGCTGTTTGCTCTCAGTGCTAACCTATATATGTGAAACATGGACCATAAGCTGGAATCTAGCCGTAAACTGTAGAAGGAATGGAAAAACAAGGCAAGAGAACGAATGGATGAATCAGAGACAAACTAGAGGCTGGGAAGTCATTGCTTTAGTGAAGAAATTACACTGTTAATGTGCTGGCAACGTTGCAAGATGAACCGATCATCCCTGAACCAGCGAGACATTAAGCTGGCTTCCAAGATAGAGTAAAATTGCCGCCGTTATCGTGTCTATTGAAACCACTTTCCTTTGAGGACTACACAGTTGCTATGACAGTGCAGGGAGGAAGAGAAAACATGCATTCTGCCCATTTAGTTGCGAATAATGAGGATGGGGCTTTATTTTGGTGTGAACATGTCAGGAAGAGACCCAAGACCAGGCTGTGCAATACGTACGGCTTAACTGCTCACTTGGTTGTTAACTATTCAGTCTGATGTTTAGAGGAGATACGTATGCCCTTGTCGCTGCTAGAATGTCGTGTGCAGTTCCACTTGAACAAAAATAAACTTTTAACGAAAACTGACATTCAGATCGTGACTCAACGTCGCTCGAAACGAAAAAGTAAATAAAGGTCAAATGCATTTGTATTTATGCCGTAACGGAATTGTCCACTGCATCTGCACTTCCGTTTATGTCACAGCTTAGTAAGCCGTTGTATGGTTAAAAGTGAAATAAACTGCTTGGTAAAACTGGAAATGTGCGTCGAAGGACCTGTTAGATTATTCTCCGGTTGCATGCAGTAAAGGTAATTACTTCATGTGATTACTGAAGATGGATCCTGAATGATGTGAAGCGCCAAGTATGTAACTGCAGAATAAACATTAAAGGCTGTCCCAAACAGCCATGCGGCAGCGCAAAGAATTTTAGACATATTCTTAAGTGTTTCGTTAATATAACGTTATTAACGAATTTATGGGAAGGGTTTTGTTTTTCTCTTAGAAATTCGTAATTGCAGTGTTTCTCAGATATATTGTTTTGGAAATTAAAGTTTTTATGTTTTTCTTTGCGTTTAATTTGGCCTTTGCCATTTCAAAATCCAGATAAGAAGGGAGTAGTACTAGATGATGGGTCAGTGACGTGTCGAAGCCTGTTTTGGAACTTACCTACGTGCTCTTCATGATTCTGACGCTCTGCTGTGCTGGCTTGGTCGTCGCTTAGGCTACCATAGAATCCGAACACTCCTGGGGAACTACGGCAGACTGTGAAAAGTAGGCGATTACAACCTGCTTAATGACTTCTGGCAGCCGAGGGCCACCGCCATGGTGACTGCTGCCAAAGATATACCCCACGATGACGTAGGTATAAGTTAGCATTGAAGTCGCTACCCGTTCTGAACGCGGTACCATTATAGCACATCACAGAAGACACTCACCGAAAGGACACCGCCAGTTGGAGCTTGCAGTCGGAAACAGGAATATATCGTGACTCAGAGGGAAAGAGCAGAAGCTAGTTGATGAGGCCGCAAAGTTGTCATGAAGGGCCAAGGCTTTGTAATTCTGAACTTCTGCGGGTAGAAGTTGTTTTACCGAGGTGTCGACATGGTGAAGCGCGCTCAGATTGTTATTGGTGTTCTGGTAGAACCCATCCTTGCTGATGTAATCATTGAATGGATGCGTTGTCAGCGGAAAAGTGGCATTCATCCGACTTAAGTTATACCAGGCAAAAGCATTGATCTCGTAATGAGTTTCTGTGCCCACTTCGGATGTATAGTAGGAGTCCTTCCTGGATGAAATAGAAAGTGTTATATCCTTACTGCTGGCTACGCAATCCATCATTCTGATTGATGATTTCAATCCGCCTGTCGGGGCATACACTGAAAGGTGGACAGGTGTTAATGGGAAATATGGCCCTAGCGGTCTTAACAGTAACGCTTTCGTTGTTGCGCTTTGTGTCCCTTGTAGCTCATGGGCGCCAAATAAATCAGTTACTGAAATGCCATGAAGCCACGGCCGTTTTAAATAGACCGCTAAGTATTTGGAGCAAAGGTAACGAGGGGCATGTGAATCCGAAAGAAACTGGATCATTCGTGTGGGCGGTATTGAAAACTGACAGTTTGTCAACAAGCCCATGATGTTTATGCTGATTTGCAAAATTAATATAATAAAATTGAATTTAATACCGATGCCCACATACCATGTAACTTTTCTTTTAAAGATACCCCTATTACTCTTAAACATTATGCATTCTTCGGAAGCAAGCTCATTTGGTTTATGTTATACCGTTATTTTGTCGCCACCATTGATGACCCCAAACCCATTAGCCAAATTCAAGGTAAGGTTAAAATATTCAATCATTATAGTTGTTTTAAACAGCCCACAACCCATTGCTATGTCTGAGGTGTGGAAAGGTGTCAGATAAACGTTGCTGACGTGTCTCTGGAGAAGTTCTTCTTACACATTAATTTTCCAAGGCATTATGGCCAAAAATTCTGCATGCGAAAAGTTTATTCCTCTTTGTTGTCAAACGGTAATGCATACCATCGAATTGAACCTCAGTTTTATTCAGATTTATTTCCTCATGTATTTTAACATTTAAATGAAGAATGTTTGTCAAATTTAGCATTCTGCTTCGCGCATTAGTAGTCTTCTTAGTTGAGGATTATTGTATTTTCCATTAATCTGATGCTATCAGTTTTTTGATACATCGTTTGACAGTAGATCCATCCATCATCTTCATTTCGCCATTTCCTATGGCGTCATAATTGTCATTCATCATTTTGCTTGCGAACTTATTAGGAACAGGTGGGAGCAAGTCTTTCAGAAGTACTTGACCTAACCTGGTACCGATGCAAACTCGTCCTTTCTAGTCGATCTTGGGACTGGTTATGGTTTCTTCAGGTACATCAGTACATGTATACATGATGGCAGTAGACATTTGTGAATTCATGTGCCATCATGCTGCTGCGTGGCGTTTTCTGCAGTGTTACAGTTGGTGCCAACGATGAACAAACAGCAGCATTTTGAGGGCATTAGTTAAATTCGTCTCTACTTTTGACTTGAGGGTGTACTATTCGCAAATTTTCAACTCGCTCTGCCTTTTGACTTTGTCTCCAGAAGCGAACCGAATTAGAGATGATGAGGAAATGCCTTCAAGGTTCGCTTCCATGTAGGCAAAGTTGTTCTTTCTCACGATTCTCTTCCGGTCCGTTGTTCATACTTGTATTTTCTTGCTGATTTTATGGAACATCAGTGGCATGTAAACAGCTATTTTTGAACTTTAGTTTCTATAAACCCTTTTAACTACATGATAGAAGTTGGCTTATCGTATTTGTTTGTAGACGTTATTCAAGAATAATCAGCGTACTGTAAACATCGTTAGTGTATTTGTTACTCAGGAAGGAAGTTGTGTGAGCGAAACGGGGAAACAAACCAAAAAACGTATTTTGCAATCAGCTTTTGTCTTGCGTCTAAATTCATTCACTTGGAAGAGCAGTAGTCGTGTAACTGTGATTGTTTACTATACAGTTGATTATGTTGAAAGCCGAGTCTTTGTTTTCAACGCCTCCCTCGACAGACATCATGAAAGTAATCCAAAACTCATAAAAGGGACATATATACTTGAAATGACAAAAAATAAGCAACTGAGCCGCAAACTTCATTGATGCCGATTGCTGAATTGAAGTCAATTATGAATCTTTTAGAAGCGATCGCTGCTGTTTGCCGCAAATGGCTCCTGATCACGTTGCCGCTTCCGTCTCGAGTAGAAAAATGCCAGTTCGTTTTAAATCCGCAGATTCAAACTGTTGGCGATCTCTGTGCATCCATACGAAACGAAGATCCGTTGGTCACATCCGTCGCTTTACGATC